TGTCAGGTAGGTCTTCAAGGGGAAGGAAGGTGAGTGTGTTGGAGACTGTGGAGATCATGGGATGGACCTCAGCCTTGGATTCGCTTTGTTATGAATCCTGTTCATAATAATGAAATGTGTCCACTCTGCACAAGCTGGAAGTCACCCTGTTAGAAACAAAAGGGTGATGCTTGTGCAAGGAAGATGTGTTTGCTGGGGTAGTGATCACTTCCTCGTGCCATTGGTATATTTCAGCAGCTGGGTGCACAAGAGGGCTATTGTGCACATTGACAAGATGAAGAGAATTCCAGCCAATGTGGCTGGGTTTTGATCACGCCTGAAGCAGGCAGAAGCAGGATGTCTGCTTCTGTACTGTTCTCCCAATTATTTGCTAAGGGACATCAGAGCAGCTTCAGTTGAAAAGCATTGTATTTCAGTGAGTTGAAGTGTCATCATTCATTCCTATGGCATTGGATCTATGACGGCTCTTTCGCACATGTCAGTTCGACACTAAATGTAGTCTTGCAACCCCTAAGCCATCCATATACAGTATTTGTGCAAGTCAGCCTTGTGTAATAACAATGTGTCTAATAACATAATTGAGTATTTTATGTATTTTCCCCCAGATAGCACACACACACACATGCACTTCTGTCTTTTGTGTGGGCATATGATGCCTCTTGCAACAATGGAAATCACTGGAACCAGATTCTGGAGTTTTAGAAAAGCGGGTGAAGGGAACAAGGATGTCAGCTGAGATCTGGGATTGAGAAGACTTACTCCTCTAGAAACAGAGATATGCTGCTGGGACAGAGCTGGTCAGCTTGTATTTCCTGAGCGGCACCGAGGGTTCACAACCAGAGTTGCCACTGCACTTTGGATATGAAAAGGAGCCTGAGGTTTAGCTAACCTCTCTTTGAGGCTGATAGCTGTCCATGGTGCTGAATGAATATTCATTCTATTTGATCCCCACAGATTCCACTTGATGGCCTGTAATCCTATTCTGAAGGAACCAGAACCAAATATTATTACAGTTTTTAGACAGAATTGTGTTCACATTTCGTAACTACTAAAAAAATCATTTAAAAAAATACTGGCTCAATTCTAAAATCCTGCCTTCCTGAACAAGATGGTATTCCCCACCATGTGCTGTTTTTTTTAAAAAAAGTTAATTGAACATTTGATCATTGTTGTACATGATTTAGAAACATCAAGGCTGGATTACTGTAATATGCTCTAGATGAGACTTGCTCTGAAGATGCTTTGCAAAGGTCAGTTTGTAGCTGCAAGCCTTCTAGCAAGGTACTCTTGGTCTTAGATTCATATTACACATTTCCTCCAACAGCTGTCCTGCTTGCCATTTGGTTTCTGGGGACAATTCAAAGTGTTGCTCATTGTCTTAAAACCCTTAACAGCTTGGATCCAGGATATATCAGAGGTAGTCTTCTCTTATACCAGGCTGCTCACTGTCTAATATCTGGCAGATATGTTTTATCCATGTCCTGTCTACAGTCAACGCAAGTTTGACTGGGAGATGAAGAAGGGCTCCATGAGCAGAAATTTTCATTTTACCTTTAAAAAAACTATTCTGTCCTTCCATTAAATTTTATTTGATATTCTAATGTTATGGTAACATTATGATTATGATTTTTTGCAAGCCACCTTAAGGAGTGTGCCTATATTAGAAAGATGACATTTTATTTTTAAAAAAATCATGGTAAAATCGATTCCTCTACTAAAGAGGCATTTTCCTGATAAAAAAGGATCAATGGAAATAAGAGCTCCATGGAAATTTGAAAGGACACTCAGCAGTCTGCCCTTATACAGACGTAATAAAAGGCAGGCCTTTGGTGGGATGTAATAAGGAAATATTGATCTTTATTTTAAAAAAAAAGAATGGTTGCCACTAGATTATATTTCTTTAATATCAGGGCTGTGCATGCAATGGACATTATATGGTGTGTCCAATTCAGCAGCACATTTAAATGGATACAGTTTTGCCCACTAAATGCTAAACAAGCCTGCCCTTAGATTTTAAAACTATCATATTTATTGACAATCCCACAAATCTTTGCTAGTGGAACTGATGGTGTACAGTGCCTATACATTCCATCAGCCCTCTTAATTCTTAATAGACATGTGAAGCTCTCATGAGACTACTAATAACCTGCATCCTTTCCCCCACTTTTGTGATCTGTGTGGGTGTGCATGAACACACACAAAATGAAACAGCACAGACAGAAGTCATTTCTAGAGTCCTTTTGTACCTAAGATCCCACTCTTCTCTTGGACAGAGCACATCCTGCAAGAGACACTTTTCCATCATCATTTGCACCGAAGGCATTATTATAAAGTGATCAGAATGAGAAGAGGAGATAATCCCAAATGACCACATGCAATTAAAACTGATTATCTCAAAAGAGGAGAACAGAGCTGTTTAGGGCCACTTAGTTCCATCCACTGTGCTGCCAGTAGCCCATACAAATGTCTCTGAGAAGCTGGGAATATGGTACAGACATTTCAATCACACTGACATTTTCTGGACACCAGAGATATGGCAGCATCCTATAACTTGCATAGATTGGCAGCCAAGGAAATAGGCATGCAAAGCAATCCATATTGCTTTGTTTGAGGACCCTTGAAAAAGCCTGTAGTAGTTCATTTCATATGTAAGGAATCAGAAAGCCGAGAATCTAGGTCATGTCAGGATTCAGCAGCTCCTGCTCCCTTCAGCTTGGTTTATTTCCTTACTCTGTAATATAGCACTCAGACTCCATTTTTTCACTGTAAGAGACACAATTTCTTCTCTTAACATAAGAAGATAAGAAGAGCCCTGCTGGATCAGGCCAAGAGCCCATCTAATCCAGCTCCCTGTATCTCACAGCGGCCCCACCAGATGCCTCTGGGAGCACAGGAGACAACCAGATACCTGTCTCCTGATACCCCTCCCCTGCATCTCACATTTTAAAGTACCTTCCTTTTAAGCTTAGAGATTATACATCCCCATCATGGCTTGTAACCTGCAATAGACTTTTCCTCCAGTACTCTGTCCAATCCCCTTTTAAAGGCGTCTAGGCCAGATGCCATCACCACATCCTGTGGCAAGGAGTTCCACAGACTAACAACATGCTGGGTAAAGAAATATTTTCTTTGGTCTGTTCTCACCCTCCCAACACTCAATTTGAGTGGATGTCCCCTGGTTCTGGTATTGCATGAAAGGAAAAAGAGCTTCCCTCTGTCCACTTCATCCATCCCCTGTGGAATTTTATGTCTCAGTCATGGTCCCCCTCGAGACTACAAAGCCTGAAAAGTTGTAGCCTTTCCTCATACGGGAGGTGCCCTGGCCCAGTCATCATTTTAGTCACTCTCTTCTGCACCTTTTCCAGTTCCACTATGTCTTTTTTTTTTTTTTTTTTTTTTTTTTTTTTTTGGAGGTACATCGATCAGAACTGATTTTCCCTCAGCAAGGCTTGTTCTATGTGTTTTAATTTTATCTTGGATGAGGCTTTCCACAATCTTCCCTGGAAAGTTCTAAATGACTTGGATCCATCTTATCCAAAGAAAATGCCCTTTATTCCCTAGCAGCTCAGTGACATTCATATCCCTAAACAAGTCCTGAGTACCACACAATATTAGATCCAGAGTCCCCTGTCCCCTGGTGGGCTCCATGACAAGGTGCTCCAAGGCACAGTCATTTAGCATGTCAAGAAACCCAGTCTCTCTTTCTTGACCCAAGCACACATTGACTCAGTCAATGTGAGGATAATTGAAGTCCTGTGTGATCCTGTCCCTTTTGGACACCTCCCTGATTTGTCTCCTCATTTCAAGGTCCCCCTCAAGTTTTTATTATGGAGGACGATAGCACACCGTCACACTATCACATTGCTCCTTTGGCCTGGTAGTTTAACCCACAGTGATTCTATGATGGAGTCAGACCCACCGTCCATCTCCATTCTGCTGAATTCTGCCCCATCTTTGACATAGATAGCCACCCCACCTCCAACATGCCCATCCCTATCCCTTCCTATCCATTTTTAATTTTCTTGATTTCATTATTTTCCCAGTGAAGATCTGATATCTCCTCTGACTCTTCCACTCAACAACACACAACGTACACAGATGCAGATATGCTCTCCCAGGTTAAAGCCTCTCCCTTTCCCAAAGTTTTCTTCAAGCTGTGGAAATCACTAAATCTTCCATACCATCTTGAATGCCTCGTATTAGATCACCCTCTTATCAACACTTTACATATGACAGCTACCTGGGGTGTTGAGGGTGGGAGGTGCAGCCCCCTCCCACCAGAAGGCTCCAGGTTGATGATGGCTGACTTCCAAGATGTTGACAAATTCTATGTCAACTATGATGGTGACTATCTGGACATTTGGCCCACTGTTTGTTCTGCTCCAGGAATGGGAGGCTTTGCTCCTAGAGACAGAAATCAGGTGATGTCTTTGCTCGAACAAACCAAGCCACCTCTAGAGCAGTCATACCCCAAACTTTCCGGGTCCCTGTCCAGGGGTTTCTGCTTTTGTGGTGCAGGTAGGATCACTCTGTGTTTGTTTCCAGTGCTAGCATGTGTTTCCAGCACATGCTAGCACTGGAAACAAACCAAAGAAAGCCTTCCTGTTTGAATTGCCAATATGATGGAACAGCTTAAGAAGTAGTTTAAGAAGAGAGCCACTCTTGATGCCCCCACCTGTCTCCTTCGGGTGTGGATTAAGAGCAATAACGATCTAAAGGACTTGGATCCATCTTATCCAAAGAAAATATTAGTATTGTAATTTAGATGTGTAAAATCTAAGTGTTTTAATCGTATTTGTATTTTAATACTATAAATGGGTTTAATTATATTTAATATTAGTAACTTATTTTGTTTTAGTGTTACCATTTTAAAACTACTTTGTAGACACCTTGAGTGAAAATTCTTGCAGGAGAAAACAGATCTGTATTTCTCACCCCTTCTCTCTCTTAGGAAAAGGTGTTGCCCTTTATCTAATGTTTTCTTTTATTATATTTTCAAGGTTGAAAAATTTGTCAAGTACTTGGATCCAAATGATATGGGCAAAATCAACTTCAAAGATTTCTGCCATGGAGTGTTTGCTATCAAAGGTAGGCAGTGTTGATGTTGTGGTTGTATACTCTTTCGGTAAACTTAAAGCAACTGATATGTAACTTTGGTAGTCTCTGACACAGCAATGGATCAGGTACATAGCTCCAAACCACTGAAACCCTAAATCATTGGTTCCCAAATTTGGGGCCCAAGAAGTTCTTGGGCTACAAATCCTGTGCTGGCCATGGCATCTCGGAGTTGTACTCCAAGGACATTTGTGGGCCTCAGCCCTAGATGATCTTGTGTGCTTTGTACTTTCTGTATTGGCTTGCAATTCTGTACAGGAGAGGCTGGCAACTGTTTTACTTTGAACTTTAAAGGAGCTGTTTGGGGTGAATGAATTTGCATGGGGCAGGAGATGCACTTTGGAATTCTATTGCTTCGATTATGTCTTTGCCACCCTCCAAGCATTGGAGGAAAAAAGTCAGAATTGGGGACCCTGCTCTCTGTGTTGAGAACCATAGACAAGCAGAGATCGGTGGGCCTGTTTCCTTCCTCCTCATCATCATAGGAGCAACTGAACAACCAAATATGATTATACAAGCAGCTCATTCCTACTACAGGATCTGCAAATAAGGGACAGTAACTCTTGCCATTTTTTCTTAACCTTTTCCTCTCATGCTATTTCCTTGATCTACACGCTTTCCTTTCCCCACCACCCACAACTGAACATGAACTGGGTCTTAATTACCAAATGACACTAATAGAGTCATTGAGGGCTATTAACCCCATGGGTTTTGTGCAACCTCCTTTTAAATAGATGGCTTTGACTTCGTCTTTTGTGTATGTGCATTGGGATATTTAATTTTGGCTTTTGTATAATTATTATGCTTATATTTCTTTAAGTGTTTGTTTTGTCATGTTGTTAACTGTCCAGATTGGCATTGATAGCCAAATGGGATGGATGGATGGATGGATGGATGGATGGATGGATGGATGGATGGATGGATGGATGGATGGATGGATGGATGGATGGATGGATGGATGGATGGATGGATGGACGGACGGACGGACGGACAGACAGACAGACAGACAGACAGACAGACAGACAGAATAGATAGATAGATAGATAGATAGATAGATAGATAGATAGATAGATAGATAGATAGATAGATAGATAGATAGATAGATAGATAGATAGATATTCCCTCTAAAGCCACCAATGGAGGGTTGGCCATTGCTTTATCCTGTAATAGGAAATGCCACCCTTTTAGCTAAGCCATCTAGACAGAAGTGGAGAGAAGTGCATGAGGTAGTCAGGGACCATGGCTTAGCCACTCTGCCACTGCATAGTCATGTAGCTACATGTATCTGTGCCACCCTTGGCTGTGATATTGGACAGAATTCTATCATGGATTTACCCTGGCATATGTGTAATGGCAGAAATCACAGCCATGAACTGCCACAAATTAATAAGCTGCCACTTGCATTCTTTGTCATGCCCTGTCATGCGACTTGGTGAGCTTATCAGGAATATGGGTGACAATTTGTTAATTAGCAACAATTTCACCACTGTGATTTATGCTTAACATGGGAGCGGAGAAATAGTGTTTTTAGAATGCTACACAATTATTTGCATGATTTTAATAACCAGTGGCATACAACCCACTGGTATCTGAGTAATGCAGTGATTCCCAATTGTGCACGAAAGGGATGCTCACAGACTGCAAGGACAACTAACTCAAGGGAGGGAAACCTTGGGCTCTTCATGGCTGAGTGAAGAGACCCATTGAAAAATTAAGCCTCCTTGTTGGTTGGAGGCATCAATTGCCCCATGTTCCTAGGACCCTCATTGTAATATAACACACTTACTCTTCCAAAGGCAATCTGTGGCATCACTGGCATTCCCTAGTGCAGCAGTTTACGCTCCAGGTGACAGGTGAGGAGGTGTGGGAAAATACCCAGTTCCCTGGGCCTTGTTGGTTGGAGGCATCAATTGCCCCAATTGTTCCTAGGACCCAGAAGGTCCCACCTCATTGTAATATAACACACTTACTCTTCCAAAGGCAAGCTGTGGCATTACTGGCATTTCCTAGTGCAGCAGTTTATGCTCGAGGTGACAGGTGAGGAGGCAGCAGAGATATAATGCCATTGCCTAAGCAACATCATTCAATCTGTACACCTTAATTGAACAGCCAAAGGAAGAGGCACAGATCTGGGAAGCTATCATCCATTGCAAACCATCCTACATTTCTAAGGAAGGATTATGATTCTGGGATCTGAGGGAAACCTATCCTCCTTTCTGAGCATAGCAGAAATCTGCCACAGTACTGAAGTTTGTAGCTCCCACAATTTGGGGCATTAATCCCACCCAACAAAATTCTTTCTGAGACATGACTGAGATGCCCATCTGCCACACTTCTAGTGATCTAATTAGTCAAAAGCAACCTCCCAAACCACCCACCAGTTGTTGTGGACTTCATATCCCATCAGCTATAACTAGCATAGCCAATGGTCAGAAATGCTGGTATTTGTAGTCCCAAGCATCTGGAGGGCACCAAGTTGGTGAAAGGACGTTCTAAAGACTACAGGGATTCAAGGAAGGCAGTAAAGTGAGTGCTGCTTATAAGCTTTTGCAATAAAAATTCTCCAGTTTTATATGTGAATTTCTCACACTGAAATACACTGAGGATGATTTTGGATCAGCCATGAACAGGATTTGTGTTAAAAATTCCCCACTTACACACAATTTTGGCGGCAGAGTTAGGTCCACGTTGTGTACAATCTCCCCCTTGTTTTCCCACATAACACAAGTTAATACTTCATTCATCGATGAAAGTTTGTGCCAAGATCAATGCAATGCCACAAATCTCTCTCTTTTTGTTCTGTTTGCTATTTGTTTTTTCCTCTAAAAATTGAAAAGTGATCTCCCTCTAGTGGCTGTGTTTAAAAAATCCCCCCTCTGTGTCCCACTCAAAAGAATACAGTACAGAGCAACACTGTTTTCCTTTCTGTCATGGTCGGAATTTGAGTAGGCTGATGTCAAATCCATGTTTCTGGCCTGTGCTGTGCCTGAGGCAGAACTACGACCAGCTGTGCCTCAACGATATCTGTATTTACGTGACAACCTTGGAGGAATTTCTCTCATTCTCACATTCTGTTACACGCAGATCTGGGCAAAGTGCGGCCCTCTAGATGTTCCTGAATTGCAAATCCCAACATTCCTCACTGTGTGGGCTAGGCCCAACTTGCCTCACACTATTGGCTGTGTCGGAGGAATTTCTCTCATTCTCACATTCTGTCACAGGGATGTGCTTTGGGAAGGCTCTTCAAAGCTTAACTGGTCATTATATGCCAACTGCTCGTGTTTCCGGCCCAACTTGCCTCACACTATTGGCTGTGTCGGCTAGGAATTATGGGAGTTGCAGTTCAGCAACATCTGGAGGGCCGCATTTTGCCCACCCCTGTTTTACAGGAATGTGCTTTGGGAAGGCTCTTAAAAGCTTAACTAATCATTATATGCCAACTGCTCGTGTTTCTATTAGCATTTAGAATTACCATTCCCTTTACATCCCATCCTCCCCACCAATAATCTCAGGAGCTCAAGGTGGCATAGATTATTGTTTTCTGTATTGTCTTCACACCACACCTATATGGCAAATGAAGGTGGAAAGTGGGGACTATTTCATCTTCAGTGAAGAGGTTAGAAAACGGGGCTTCCTCTCTGGGTTTCACTGTAGCTGGCATGGACAAAATACAGTCTCATGATGCAGGGATTAAACTGCAATACTGTCATCAAAGACTCTGCACGCAATCTGAGTTCAATCACAACAAGCAGAGGTAATCAGCTCAAGGTTGACCCACCCTTCCATCCTTCCAAGGTTGGTAAATTGAGAACCCAGCTTGCCCTGCATTGAGGGTAGCCTGAATAATTGAATTGTAGACCACCCAGAGAGTGCTTTTAGTGTTATAATGGGGCATTATATAAGCAGCACATCTTGCTTTGCTTTGGCCTCCATGACTTTATTTTGAGGTTGCCAGGGCTGGCAGAGCCCACCTGTGTCCTCCGTGTTTTTTTTTAAAGTTAGGAAGGGGGGGCTGCTGCAGGAGACTTTTAGGAGGACCAGTTTTTGCAACATGGGAAGATGGAGTACAGCCCAATCAACATGGAGGGGGGAACCCTCTCCCCCACCCCCAAAGTAAAGTTGGAAGTAGGTATCCATTCAGTGCTGCTTATGACTCTGCACCATATTTTTGACTATGTCCAGGCCTGTTGAAGCCATGGTGAATGCTGGAGGCAAAAATCTGGCCCTCCTCTGCTCACCAGAGTTGCCAACTGCTGCACTAAAATGTACAGTCTGCTCCCAAAGCAAAGATGAGGGGTATTTTTACCCACAGAGCAGTATAATATAATCCATGTATGTATATAGATAGGGCTCAAATTATATATGCCACAGAAACATTTTTTTTATATGTTTAACCCGTTCATGTACAAAGTGGGGGTCTAATTTTTACATGAAAAGAACATGGAAGGGGAATAAGTGAGGCCTCCCTTCTCCTTTACTTTGCCCCAGTACCCATGTGCTTTCAGCACAGAATCATAGAATCACAGAATAACAGAGTTGGAAGGGGCCTATACGGCCATCGAGTCCAACCCCCCTGCTCAGTGCAGGAATACAAATCAAAGCAGATCTGACAGATTGTTGCCCAGATTTCTCTTGAATGGCTCCAGTGCTGGAGCGCTCACCTCCTCCCAAAGTAACCACAGATTTCTCTTGAATGGCTCCAGTGCTGGAGTGCTCATTCTTGTACCGTTCTAACAGTTAAGAAGTTTTTCCTGATATTCAGCCTAAATCTGGTTTCCTGTAGCTTGAGCCCATTATTACGTGTCCTGCACTCTGGGATGATCAATAACAGATCCTGTCTCTCCTCTGTATGACAGCCTTTCAGGTATTTGAAAAGTGCTATCAGATCTCCCCTCAGTCTTCTTTTCTCAAGGCTAAATATGCCCAGTTTTTTCAGTGTTTTGTCCTAAGGCTTGGTTTCCAGCCCCCTAACC